GAGACACCTCATTTCGCATGAATTGATTTTTCTTTCTTGTGCCTTGATTAGAGACCATGTTTGGCACTGGTATGTTGATGTTGGTATAAATAAAGATGCTTTCGATGAGCTGGGATTTCATTTCGGTTGGGATGCTACAAGAAGTGCCTCAAATGACAAAATTACCTCACAAAGAAGGCGTGTAATGTCCTCATTTAGAAGATGGAAGTGGAAGAGCATTCAAAGTAATTGAGACAAAGAGTGGCAAATTTTATTGTGAAGACTTTTCTCCTTTCTTTGACTTTTTTGAAAATATCAAATACCGATTCTTTTGTGTGTTTGTGTGTGTTTTTAAAAAGTTTTAGTACGAGTCTTACAGCACTTGTTACACAAAAACGTCATATTGAGTGCTGAAGATTACAGGTGTCACTAGAGAGTAACAAAAGTTTTAAAAAGGAGAAAATAAGAACGATAGATGCTCCCCGCGACACCCCAGGGTACAAGGGGAAGAAAAAAGTAAAGTAAAGTAAGATGCTTGATAGTAGAGAACAATTAACCACACCATAGAACCCGCCAACCAACAACAATTCTTTTGTTTTGTTGGAATGTTATTCTGGAAATGTCCTACGAAAACATGTAACAAATAATACACACAAAAAACAATTCTTCAAATCTATAATTTATTATAATAGTTACAATCATAAAGACAAATACATGTAGCAGATTGCAAAGGTGGATAAAACAATTACGATCTACAACAGTCATAAAAACTACTCACAAACAAAAAAGTACCTTTCTTCCTCTCTCCCTTTTATATATATCTATCATGTAAACATGGCTTATCATGAAATTACCAATTCTACTGCAAGAGTCATCAAAATACAGAATGACGACTTTGAGCTTTCAAGGCATAAGTTTTCATGATCTAATATCTCGCAAACCAAAGTCAATATTAGGCTACCGAGTTTAAATTATGACCTGAAAGTCACCAAATAGTAAAAACTATCACAACCTTGCTTATTTGTTGTTTCTTTTCACCTTTATTGATGGGGGTCAAAGAAATATATTTCTTGGAAACGAGAAAAAATTTGCCACCTGTTTATGACAGGATAGTCAGAACATTTCCTAGGTAGTGGACGGATAACTGAAGATTTTTTAATGACTAAAATGGACGGAAAATAACGAATCAAAAGAAGCAGAGGTGACAAATGGAATGCAGTCGACCATTTAAAGGGAAGTGTAACACTTTAGCTGAAAGAGATTCTTATATCTTGGTTTTTCAATGAGAACATCCCTTTTCCATACATTGAAAAGTTTTGTACGCTGCTATGCCACACCCTAAAACTTTTTTAGATTAACTGATATAATAGATGGCAAATAATTTTAGATAAAATTCAACAGTGCAGTCATTTATCAGTGGATCAGCCCATCTGGAGAAATGTTAATAATTATAAGAACCGTTCAGTATTTGTACAGTTTTACCTGAGAAACTAACATACTCTTGTGCTTGGAAATACTGTAAAAGCCTGATGTTTTAGTTCACTTCAGTTTAAGTACGAGTTTTACAGCATTTGCAACACCAAAGACGTGTTACCAGAGGGTAACATACAAAAAAGGAGGACAGATAAGGATGATAGAGGTTTGATAGGAAAGAAGGAACAAGCCTGATAACGGGATCCCAGGAAACCAGAGAATTTCATCTTTAGCAAAAAGATAAGATTTAGAACAAAAAAAGGCAAAACGAAAACTCTGCCGATTTGGATTGAAATCTTTTTGCGAGAACAGGAACTTTGTTTTAAACTGCTTTGTGTTGAACAAACTCTAATGAATAGACAATTTGTTCCATTACATTATTACTATGGTATACGCTGGTATAATGCATCAGAATTTCAAACAAAAGATAAGCTACAAAGGAAGCTATGCTACAGAAAAAAAAAAGAGAAGCAACCGCTTCTTTTCACAGGGTAAGGGAGTACACCACAATTAATAAGACAACGTAGGAATACAAACAACAGATTCACACATTTTACACAATGTAACAAACCATAACAACAGACACAAGAATGAACAAAACATCAAACGAATACAAGAAAAATATTCAAAAAGGTAAAGAACAAAAAATAACTAAAAAGTAAAGCAAGATTAAAAAGTAGAACAGGATTTTAAAAAACAAAACAAATAGAAGTTTTTATAAGTATCACAGGATTGATTATAATTCATATCAGATCTCCTAGTTTGAACATCCAGGAAATGACAAACTTTTGAAAAAAAAAAAGACAAATCAATGACCAAAATTCGGACATGCGATGTGAATGAAAATCCTCAGCTGTAGGAATACGGTAGAGTAACACGTTGAGCTGAGGTATGTAGAACAACATAGTAAAGACGGAAATACTGACAGGTGAACAAACGTTAACCCTATCCATACGCTCTGGGGTCATTTTGTACCCCCGGGGTTGTATTCTTCACATTTTAGAATACTTCTAGTGCAAAGATCTCTTTGAAACTTTCAGTATTTTTCAAAAAATCATTTTGACAGATTGCTATGCAAAGCGTATGGACTGGATTAGCCAGTAAATTTCGTCTTTGGAAAGAGGTGGCACAGTGTTCCCCACGTCGTACGGATACGATAGTAAAACACAACGTACGGATAGGGTTGAACATAAAAGCCACCTGCTAAACCCCCCCCCCCCCCCTCCCATCCCTACCTTCCCTATTTTCTAGAAAATTCCTACTGCGTCCACTTCACTTTTCAAAGAAACAAAACTTTCCCAATTAACAAAGGATAAAAAAATCAAAGAGTCGAAATAGAACTTTCACAGAGGCAAGCATACTCTTGATCACTGTTGAACAAACAAAAGAGTACCACATGAACGAGAGTTTGGGCTTCCGAAAAATACAGATAGGTTCCCTTGTGAATTGGTCACCTTTAAGCACAAGGGGGCTATCCCGAAAAATGCTGTTTTGAGAAAATCGAAGGTAAAGTTTCTGAACCCTAGTTCAGTTTCTTACAAAGACAAGGAGAGTTTTCTCTATAACCAAACAAATAAACACACCAATGAAACCAAACGTCTCCTATAGGTAGGCCAATGCCCACTTTTGGTGTAGGTCAAGATTTCTCAAAGCCCCCAAATCAGGGTTAGCCCGCTTGTCCTTAAAAGCGAGCTATTATGTGTCCATGCACATGCTGAGGAATAGAAACTTTGCGTTTGGTCACAATATCCTGACAACAAATAATTCAAAGTTATCTACTGAAAGAAAAAAAAAGAAAAAGAAAAACTCAATGTGTGAATGTATGTTTTGTAAACTAAACACCATCTCAAGGTGAGTACGGTCTGAATTTGCAATGGAATTTCCTGGAAAGATGGTTCACACATATTCGTCATTCACATCCTTCGACAACAGAAAGGGTTTAGACATAACAAATAACATATCAATAGCTAAAAATGAAATATGTGTCATATTTTGGCATAAACACATTAATTATTCAATTTTATTAGTAACAAATGTTTGCAAATATTTTTAGAGTGACAATGTAAGAATCTAACTTCTTTTTTCTTTGCAGTAGCCTTTGCAGAACAAAAACAGCGGTGCATAAATGAATATGAAATAATATATAGATCTAAGTATTGTTTGAAACTTTGCAGCAATAACATCTCCAAAAATTCCCACTCTTGAAAAAACATGAGGGATGAAAAGCATGTTTGGCACTTTTAAGATTTACTACTTGAAAAGGGGAGTACTTGAAATGAATAAAATAATCATTACCTTCTAAAACGGAGAAACAGATTAAAAATAGCCCATGCAAATCGAGGTAACAAGGCCATATACGTGACGTACATATGTATCTAAATAGCATCCCACATTCACTTGGATGATAAAAGAGTTAAAATGGGAGAGTGTATTCGCTCATCACAAAGCACATTTTTTCTTATCTCCAGCTTCCCAACTCTACTCGCATAACTGATTCTTACAGGGTACAAACACTCTCGGAATAGTTATCAATGATCAAAGGCAAGAGGATTTGGAATATGAGTAAACAACTGCTGTAAACTAAACACAAAAAAAAGCTTCAGGAAGCCTGAAGGGTAGATTGAAACAATCACTGGCCTTTTCTCTACAAATGACCACCAAATTAGATGCTACAGGATGAGAATGAAGGCACCTTGGAACTTTAAACTTCTACAGAAAAGGAATTGGTGCTGAGAGAAAATTAAACCCAAGGCATATGTGCATGATGAGCTTTGAATAAACCTCAACAACCTTAAGTACCGTATCTTAATTCTCTGTCTCTGTCTTAATAAGTTTTTTGTGTTTTTTTGGTTTGAGAAACCTCAAGACTTTTTCAGAACACTATCTGCGCAGGGTGATATTTTAACATTTGCATCTGCATTTGGAACAAAATGAACTGGACTCGCTCCTTTTTTGTACGTTCTCGAATTGAAAAAAGAAAACAAAAAACCCCCAATGTTCCAGAAAAGAGCAATCATGTTGAAACATGTTTAACTGATGTATCCATGGGCCTATATATATATATACATGCACTGCTCCTTATTGTACATTCTATTATTGTAAAAAACCCCAAAAAACAAACTATTTGAGAAAAGAGCCATCATACAGATAGCCTACGTGTTTAACTGCTGTATCCATGAGCCTCTTTATATATGTACTGCTGCTTTTTGTACATTCTGGAATTGTAAATTTTAAAAAACTGAGAAAGGAGCAATCATACAGATAGCCTATGTGTTAAACTGCTGTATCTATGAGCCTGTATATATATATATATATATATATATATATATATATATATATATATATATATATATATATATATATATATATATATATATAAGTACTGCTCCTTTTTGTCCATTCTGGAATTGTCCCCCCAAAAATAGGCCTACTGTTTGAGAAAAGAGCAATCATACGGATACAAGTTAAGCTGCTGTATCCATGAGCATATATATGTATATATATATATATTTGTACCGGTACTTTATATCTAGTTCTGAAACAAGAAGTACAGGTGACGAGAGGGCGCCATTCCTTCTTCATTTCTGTACATCATCTCACTTTTCTCACGCACAAATGTATCATTACTATGAAAATGTGCTTCGTTATAGCTTATACAACCAATTTCTTTGGCCCCAACAACGGACTGAAAGGCTAAAGAGCCTGTACTGTACACATCGCTGGAAAAAAATACACATGCTACAGTCTGCCTTATCACTTAATTTGTATATATATATATATATACTAGCTGGGTACCCGATCGTATTGATCGTCAGATCATTGCGGAAACCAGTGCGTACTTCTTGTGAACGGAAGCCTCACTTGTTTACAATGGCGTCTTATAAGACGGACTTCCTCAAGATTAGATCTAAACCAAACTGATGAAAAACTGAAAATTAAACTAGTGACTTCAGACTCCTTGATATAACTGTGTACCCTTTAAATAATTCTGAACCACCGTTATTTTTTTCAAAAATTCAAAAGTTAAGCGGTTCGGAAGTTTTACGTGACGAAAGTGAACTAACTTTCACAAATATAATATATATATATAGATATATATTTTTTAATATATAAATAGTATAAAACGACGGGCCAGCGCTGCTGGTGGGTGGGTGGGGTGGTTCGGTTCAGGGGTAAGGCTTCAGCGGGGAGGGAGGGGCGGGGAAGGAGGAGCCCGTCTCGCCAAACACGTTGGAGTAGGAGTTCTTGAGGAACTGCACATAGTTTTGCATGGAACGGTTCGTGGAGTGGCACTGCTCTAGCCGGTCCTTCAGGTCGTACAGGCGCGAGTTGAACCGGCGCTCGTTCTGTGGAAATATGATACGATATAAGATAAGATCTGTGTCACGGCACAGTGGAATCAGGCGCTTGTCAATTTTTGGGAATGTGGAGTTATTGCTATTATCTGAAAGCTGATTTATTTGCCTTGCTTTCAATGAAATACATATCGATCTGTTTTGAACAGAACTGAACATATTTGCGATTGAAGAGTCCTTGAAAACAGAAAAATGACATATTTTGTACCTTCAATCAACGTTTTTCCGCAAAATTGACATGGAAATGTGTTTTTATAAGGACATAAAAGAGGTAGGGCCAAAAAATTAAAATTTGATAAAAATGTAATAACCGTCATAAAAATGTTTGTTTCTCAGATTCTTGTATTTTGACGAGCACCTGATTTCACCACTCTCCCTCACATATAATACAATATGATAGCATAAGATATGTGAGGCAGCGTGGCGGAATCAGGCTCTCGTCAAATTTTGGGCATGTAGAGTTATTGGTATCATCTTATAGCTTGTTCATTTGTCTTTGTTTGAATGAAAAAAATATCCATTTATCTTGAATACAAGTCGAGATATTTGCGAATGAAGGAGGTGGGGTTTCCTGTTTTCAGAGGTAAAATTGGTGAGAAAATGGCCGCCACAGATTAGTTATTTCTTTAGCTTAAGAGTCGGTGGTAACAGAAAATTTACATTTTTTGTGCTTTTAATCACCATTTTTCAGAAAAATCCACACAGAAATTAGTTCTTTAATGGGCATGAAAGGTGTAGAGCCAAAAAACAAAAATTTGATAAAAATTCACAAGCCTGTGGAAAAATGCAAGTTTCTTCACTTTGATAATTTTGACGAGAGCCTGATTCCACCACGCTGCCTCACATATTACTGTGTGATAAGATAGATATTTTACATGATGATGAAATAATTTTTAAAGATCTTTTTATTTAGTAAGTGTTTTACAGCACTAGCAACACAATATAGTCATATAAGTGCCGAATAATAGAGGTGTTACAAGAGACTAACAAACACCATAAAAAAAGAGGAGAGATCAGGACGATAGATGTTTGATAGGAAGGAAGGAGCAGTAAACCACACCACAGCATCCATCAGCCACCCACAATTATAGTATGATGTGGTAAAACACGATATAGGTTTAGTTATGGTAAAAGTTTTACAGCACTTTGAACACAAATATGACATATAAATGCTGAAGATTAGAGGTGTTACTAAAGAGTAACATACAAAGAAAAGAAGGAGGGAAGATAAGAATATTTTAGGGGACAGAAGGAGCAAACCACATTAGAGCACGAGTTAACCATCCACGATACTTATATAGTACAATGTGATGAGATAAAATAAGACTAGAAACCAGATAAGACAAGATAAGTAAGATATAAAACATGATGACTTCACACATGATCACTTTTAAGGACAAGCGGGCTAATCCAGATTTCCAGTGCTTCCAGAAATCTTGACCTACACCAAAAGTGGACATTACCCTACCTGTAGGATAAATTTGGTGTCATTGGTGTGTATATTTGTTTGGTCTTATAGAGAAAATTTTCCTTCTCTTTTAAAGAAATTAAACAAACGTCAAAAAACTTTACCTACGATTTTCTCAAAACAGCATTTTTCGGGATAGCCCCCTTGTGCTTAAAAGCGACAACATATGAACACACACTTATATTTAATGAAGAAGAACACAATGTCTTGAAAGAGCCCCCCCCCAAAAAAACAAAAAAACCAAAACAAAACAAAACAAACAACAACACACAAACCTTTACTGAAACACATGGAAATGTTCCAAAGTTTTAAACTAGATTTTGTGGGTGGTTGGCGGGTGCTTGGGTGTGGTTTGCTCCTTCTTTCCTATCAAACATATATCACCCTTACCTCCCCATCTTCTTTTTTATGTTTGTTACTCTCTTGTAACACCTCTAATTTTCTGGCGCTCATACGACCTTATGCAGTTGCGAGTGTTGTAAAACCTCTACTAAAAAAAAACAAAAACAAAAAACAACTAGATTTGAGCAAACTTCGTCTCACCTCCTCCTTTTCTCTCTTCAGCCTCGCGTCATCAGCCCTCAGCTGACTCAGCTGTGTCTCCAGGTCTACAATACGGCTCTGGTACGTACGTTCCTGGATGAAAGATAAGATGGAGGGGAAAGGGGAGGGGGAGGGGAGGTTTGACCGACAATCATCAATTAATATAACCAAGCAACTGAAAAAGAGAGTGATATTCCATCAGTTATGAACTCCAATCTGCGTCAAAGAAATTTCATCTAAGTCATAAAAAAAAAAAATGTTCGAAGTCTAAAGAGAGATAAATTAGATACAAATTGTGTTAAAGAAAAGTCCTCTAAGGGACATAAAATTTCCATCTAAATATGTCTTGGAAAATAAAAAACAGTTCTTAATAAATATGAAAAAAATATGTTTTTAATTTACCATCACAAAAATATCATTCATTTTCATTAACTTTCATAAAATGAAATGGTTCTTCATAAACCTTCAGACGACCCCAAAGACCATTTTACAACACAGAATCCATCACTGCAGCGACCCAAACTGACCTTGGAAGAGTATCTGTCTCGGCTGTGCTCCTGTTGCTTGCGGTTGTCGGACAGTGCTGTCTCCAGCTGGCGGGTCAGGCTAGAGTTTTCACGTGTCTTCTCTTCCAGTCGAAGCTAAGATGCAAGATATAATTATATTGTCAGCAAGTTGTTGAAACGTGGGGAGCACGAGGCAGGGGTAGGGCACGAAAAACATAAAGGAGATGCGTGGAAAGGGACATGAGAAAGACGATGCTCACTTGGAACGAGCTTCGAAGGATGGCCCAGGACAGAGATAAATGGAAGGAGCTTGTATGTGGCCTATACCCTGCCAGGGGTGAAAGGCATTGATGATGATTGATGATGAAGCTGTTCAAATGTCGCTACCTCAAAATCAGCCTACCTTCACTGAAAGGGACCCTTAGGAAGAGGGGCGATGAAGCATGGAGCACACCGTCTTCCTAAGACCCCAGTTCTACATTCAAGTACTCAAGTACCTCAGAATTACAAAGTTCTATCTCACATTTTTGGCCGGTTTGAGTTAGAATACCATGAGCTCAGAAGCCAATTGTTCTATCTTCACTAACAAAATCGTAAGATCATTTGGAGTCTTTATCAAGATATTTAGAAGAATTGCATTAAAAAAAGCTTGACATGATGTGAAACTCGAAATTTTTAAAGCTAAATTTCTCTAAACAAGATACTGAGTAGATAGATCTTTGTCATTCTGAGGGAACAATATGTTGTCAGCAAGCTGTTCAAATGTACTTAGCCCAAAATTTCGATGAAAATAAAATTTGAAATTTCCTAATCTGCGAATCAGTTGCAGGTGCTTAAAAAATATGTGAGGCATTGTGGTGAAATCAGGCACTCGTCAAAATACTGTAATCTAAGAAACTGGCAGGTTTGGCAATTTTTATCGATTTTTTTGTTTTTTAGCTAAACATCTTTAAAGTCCATTTAAAAACATATTTCTGTGTGGATTTTAATGAAAAACGTTGATTAACAGTTTGCCATCACAAGACTCATATAGTTAAAAACCCTTGCCATCAAAGACAAAGGGATTTTGGGGAAAATCCAAAGAAACTGTGGGGTAAACATCGCCTATCGGTGAGGTGAGTCAGCAAAGTGTTAAAGGCACAGAAAATAAAAATTTGCAGTATTCAAGAACACTAGAGCTTTGAAAAGCTCAGAAGGTACTCACAGACTCCTGGTGCATCGTCTCCTGTACCTTGGCCTGGCTCGTGTGGAGCTCCAGGTTCTGTTCCTCCAGCTCTTTGATGCGTCTGAGAAGACAGGACAGACAGTGATGACAATATAATATATATATCTAAAAGAAAAAAGTAATAAATACATGGAAAAAAATGAGACGACAATAAATATATGAAAAAATAGAGACGACAACAAATCTATGAAAGAAATGAAACAATAATTATATGGAACTACAATAACTATATGAAAAAAAAATGAGATAACAATAATTATATGGAAAAAATGAGATGACAATAAATATATGAGAAAATATGAGACAATAATTATAGGGAACGACAAAAATGATACGAAAAAAAATTGAGATGACAGTAATTATATGAAATGACAATGATAATATGAAAAAAATTGAGATGACAGTAATTATATGAAATGACAATGATAATATGAGAAAAATTGAGATGACAGTAATTATATGAATGAAATGACAATGATAAAATGAAAAAAATTGAGGGACAAAGAACACACTGAACCCAACACAGTGAGAACTGATAATATAATGATAATAATAATAATAATAATAATAATAATAATAATAATAAAACAATAATATTAACAATGGATAGCATTTGAATAGCGCATATTCCCTCTAAACAGCAGGCTCTAAGCACTTCACAATCTATATTATTACCCCAACAGACCTGATAGCATTCTAAAACAACCTCAACTTCCAGGGAAGCATACAGTGCAAGCAAGTTCCCTTTTTACAGGTGCAAAAACATTAGCAAACTGACAAACAAACATGCAAGCAAGCCCACCTTTCAAAGGCCTCACAGCGGGATTGAAGGCTACGGTTGGAATCGAGAGAGTCATGGCATTTGCTGCGAAACTGGTCAAGGCTTTCCGAGTTATGTTCCAGCTGAAATGTTAGGACAGGAACAGAATTTGATGCCAAGTTATAAATTTACGCACCGAAGTCAAGATATAACAGCTACAATACAATGCTATCCTACAATTTCACCCCCACCGAATAACAAACAAACAAAAAAACAAACCAAAAAAAAGCAAAAATCCCCCCAAAACCCAACCCCTAATTCAATAGGTTATAGATTGTTGTGTTATAGTAATAGTCGTTCATAGACAAACTCACCTTATTATTATTATTATATTATAAAACATTGTAAAGCGAAATGTTCTGAAACCATGAATGTTGGATCAGGATGATCCCCCTTCCATTTTTGAGTTACAATAATAAAAGAAGACACACTTCTTGTTGACTTTGGAAGAAGAAAGAACACGCTGTGTCTACCTATTTTTATTGAACGAATGAACAAATGTAATCCAGTTTAATCCACAAAGTTTTAAGTTTATCAACTATGTCAAAAACCCACCAACCAACAATAGTGTGTCTCTTACAGGGGGGTTGTATAGGATGCATAATTCTAAAATTAGTTTCTTTTTTCTTTTTTGGTCACCAAGAGTGAGGAGAGAGAGACCAGAACGTAAAAGGGAAAAATTAGGAGATAATGACAAAACAATGCCTGCTGGTCAAACATCAACAGCATCTAGAGAAAGAGAAAGAGAAAGAGAGAGGAGAAAGAGAGAAAGAGACAGAGACAGCTATAGAGAGAGAGAGAGAGAGAGAGAGAGAGAGAGAAAAAGAGAGAGAGAAAGAGAGAGAGAGAGAGAGAAAAAGAAAGAAAAAGAGACAGACAGACAGACAGATGGATGGACAGACAGACGGACAGACAGACAGACAGGCAGATAGAAAGAGAGTGACAGACAGAGTGACAAAGAGAGAGAGAGATACACAAGCATGTACAGAAACTATAAAAACAGTGAAACACGAGTGAAAATTCAAAAAACGAACAAACCCAAAACCTCCCCAAAAATCCTATTTCCTACCTTGGAGGTGAGTTCTGCGACGATCTTGGTACTGTCCGAGTTGCGTCGCTCCAGGGACAGCAGTTTCTCGTTGGCCTCGTGCAGACGCAGCTCGGTGGCTCGCAGCAGCTCAGGCAGGGGCTCTAACTCCTGCAGTCTCTGGTGAAGTCGTTGCTTTACCTGCGGCGAAAAACAAAAAGGGGAGTGGAAAGGAGACCTGTGCTGATACTTCTACGATTTGGTTCTTCATTTAGCATTAAAAATTCTGAGAAATTAAGAAAAATAATAGCAATAATGTCAATGATAGTAGTGTTAACTCTTAACCCTATCCGTACGCCCTGGGGTCATTTTGTACTCTCATGGTAAATTCTTCATATTTTAGAATACTTCTAGTACGAAGATCTCTTTCAAACTTTCAGTATTTCTCAAAAAGTCATTTTGACAGACTGCTATGCAAAGCGTACGGATTGGATTAACAAATACTTTCCCCTTTGGAAAGTGGTGGCACAGAATTCCCCACGTTGTATGGATACGATAGTAAAACAGGACATACGGATAGGGTTAATATAATAATTCTATTTCACGTTTGAATCAAAATATGTTGAGTTACCTTCTCCAGCTCTTGTTCTCCCTCCCTCTGAATTCTCTCTTTCTCCCTGGCCTGTTCCTCCAGTTTCACAAACGACTCGTCTGCCTCGCTGCGGGTGCGGCTTGTCTGAAAACCACAACAACAGCAACATTAGCAAGAAGAAAAGACCACAAAAAAGACACTGAATAAATATTCTGAGTAGAAGACACTCAGTCAGCCGAGAATTACAGACTCAGCTCTAGTTGTAAGAAAGGCACTCTCTGATTTTTAGACTTACTTTGAAAAATTAATAAATAAAGAATACGGTAACTAGCTTTGTACATTAATCTAAAAAAGCAAGCAAAATAGCAAAGACAACTTCTAAAGATGTATTATATTATTAAGTACTTGTACAATTGGTGGATGATAATTTGAATCGGAAGAAGAAAGGGAATGTTACCGTCCATATTTTCAAAATTTTTCTTGAGAAGAACAGACAACTGCATATCCAATCAGAACAGTGGAACTGTACAGCATGACAGTGTGCATTATATCCATATATTTTTCTCGCGAATAAATTAATACTTTAATCATAAAATCTACATTTCACTTTTAAAGGTAAGTACAGAATGCATAGGGTGAGGCGAAAAAAACCCCCACAATTCCGGGTCAAACCAGAACAACACCAAATTAAAACATTGATGAAATAACTGCAGAGGAAATCAAACATAAGCATTATCAGAATGTTCCATTTCAAGAGAAGGGAGAAAAACAATTTGAAGTTCAAAGAAAAGAATAGAAGCACATAAAGCACATAATATGTAATGTGATCAATGTGATGTACTGCTATGAAGGAAAGAGTGGGTGGGGGGGGGGGGGGGACCACACAAGTGACTTCTATCATAAAGGAAAAATGAAATAAAATTTATATATTAAGTGATTAATAATATTATACGTGTATGTATGATGCATATTACATATATATGATGCATATATATATATATATCATATGTGTATAAACACAGACGTTTCTCCGTGAACAGAGGGTTTCAGGACTAAATAATGACCGATTTAGATACAAAATTAGAACAAAAACAAACAAAACAAATTTTTTTTTTAAAAAGAAGAAAAAAAAGAAAAAAAGAAAAAAAGAAAAAAAGAAAAAAAAAGAAAAACAAAAAAAGAAATTGTTCTGAGATGCATGGCATGTGAATATATGAAAACATGTTCTAAGATACAACGTTGCATTCACAACCGTCGGTGACCTTTTATGTGATCAGAATAAAAGCAGTCAGTCAAACCTAGTGAATAACATGCTGCGGTGACCACAGGTAGGTAGGTAGGTAGATAGATACATAAAGATAGATAGATAGATAGACAGATAGATAGATAGATGGATAGAGATAGAGAGATAGAGAGAAAGAGAAAGTAGAGAGAGAAAGGTAGGGGGAGCGAGAGTGAGAGAGAGAGACAGAAACAGAGACAGAGAGAAAGCAAGAGAGAGAGAGAGAGAGAGAGAGAGAGAGAGAGAGACAGACAGACAGACAGACAGACAGAGAGACAAAGATAGAGATAGAGAGAGAGCAAGAGAGAGTGAGAGAAAGAGAGAGAGAGAGAAAGAGAGACAAACAGACAGACATACTTACATACAGACAGACAGACAGACAGACAGACAGAGAGCCGACAAATTACCCATCGTCTGCCCAGGTAAGCAGCCCGCACCAAGCGATGCGTCTCACGCATAAACAAACCAATCTATCCAGACGTATTGCATGTACAAAAAAAAGGGATTGGGAAAAGATTAGATGAAATTTTCACTGGTATGACTGATTTGACAATTGGATACCAAATCAGGAGCTAAGTAACAAAAACTGAGAAAAGTAAGAATCAGAGCTACTTCTCACCCCCCCCCCCCCTCTTTCTTTTAAAAAACCACAAAACAAAAATTTTTTTTTACCCCCCTAAAAACTCAACAAAGCCTTTTGTTTCACATAAAAGAAAGCTGCTTTTCAGAGAGGCTGAAATTACAACAAGGCAGCACTATAATAATATACAGTATAATATTTTCTTTCATAGAATTAAAAAAACCAGCTGTGCAACTATTTTAGAGAAAATACAATAATATAACAGTAACAGACAGAAAATTGCAATCACAGCTAGACAACACATGCAATATTATTATCCCTGGAACATTCAGGAACAACTTGAGCGATGTAAAGGGTTGACACCAGGTTACATAAGACAAACAGACAAAAAACAACAGGAACAACAAGAACAGCATCATCATCACCAGCAGCAGCAGCAACAACAACGATAACAACAACAACAACAACAACAAAAACAGTAACAAATGCAGTTATTGAACAAAAAAAGAGGAAACTATGGGGTATACAACAGGCAGAAAACTGGTAATTAAGTCAGCAAAACAGTACACATCATCACATTGTGCACAGGGTTTTCGGGCAAAGTGCAGTGGACAGAGGGCAGGGTTGGCAAAAGCTTTCTTATGCTGCTCCGCAAAATCTGGAGAGGAGTGCGCTCGCGTAAAGTAGATTGGACATTGGAGCTTGAGTACAGCCTTTTGTTTATAATATTTGTACGAGTTAAAAAAATTTTTTAAAATAAAGATGTAGGCCTATTATGCCTTCATCGACAAAATTTAAATTATGTAGGGAACGGGCTTTGACCCTCGCTATGGATATTCTGAGTTCAAAAGGAACAGCCTATAATGAAACATCAGAAAACCTGAGAGACTCGATTAAAAAATTTGAAAAAGAAAACCGGGAATCAAACTCAGGTTTTCAGTGTATGACAGCAAAGCATCTAAGCATTACACCATAGATGGTGGTGGGAAGAATGAAGTAAAGACTGTAGACACAATACATCTAAAAAAATTCCACATATAATAATAATAATTATTATTATTTTTATCATTATTATCATTTATTGTTATTATTGTTATTATTACTATTATTATTAGTAGCCTACTACTATTATTATTATTATCATCATCATAATTACTATTATTATTATTTTATTATTATCATTATTATTGTTATCATTATTATTCCATATATTACTATCAGTATGTATACACCGAAGCATACAAGTATGTACTTTAAAAAAAGGAGTTATATTCCAAAGTCAAAGGAGTTAACCTACACACAGCATAAAGTAGAACTAGAGGTTACACAAGATTAGAAGGGGGAAAAAACAGGGTGGGAGGGGGGGGGAGGTTAGAGTGTTGAGACATAGGGGGGACAGCAAAGCTACTGATTATAACAAGGACCTACAGCAGTAGAACAACATGGGACAGTTATATCGTGCAGTATTAAAATGTTGAAGATAATTGATGTGTATATTTCTTTTACGTTGTGTCCCATTTAACAGATTGGAAAAGAAAAGGGCACGAGCACAAAGAAAATCATATTTTCTGCTCATACAAATTTTCCCTATACTTATAAGACATAACAGAAGTGTTTACAGTTTTTCGGAAAAGGTTTGGTTGAGGGGGAAGGGGGGGCATCTTTTCAAAAAGAAAAATAGAAAACAGGGCTTGCTAAATATCCAAAAGACTATTAATAAAGAACACGCTGAAACGAGCATAATATAAGAGGTATAAATTTGCTTATTCACGATAAATACAATTTGAACCATCAGGATAGCTACCCAGAAAAATCATTCATAATGGTTTAGATAATGATTTAAAAAAATCCCCCCTCCCACTGTCATCCAAAGCAGAATACAGAAATCATGGGAGGTGTTTAACAGCTACATCACAGATGCTGGTTGTTGTCATTATTTTTGTCTCTCTGACATAACTGGCAACTATAAGTCTCATTATAGCAAATATCATTGGCTAGCTAGAATATTTAAATTTTTTATGCCCAAAATTTTATTTTTATTTATTTAATTTTATTTTTTTCACTGCAGTTCCTTAATCTGTGGTATTGATTGCTCAAGAAATATTTCGTCAAATTTAAAATTCTGAAGGTGGAACAAAGCAAAGAAAGCATGTAATTAAGGTTGCAATTTTTACAGCACAAAACAGTTTCTCTTTCTCTCTCTCTCTTTCTCTCTCTTTCTCTGTCCCTGCGTTCAGGGCATTAAACAGTTGAACTACTTGCCAATGGTATATATAATATGATAGCAGTCAGTCACATTTCACCAGGAACAACATAAAACAGTAGTAACGAAGAGGTTGTTGTACAATTAGTGTTAGTATGTGGGAGTTGGGTACGTGCACGCGACATTTCTCCTCACCTGCTCCTTGTACTCATCTATGAGCTTCTCGTACTGGCGCACCGTCCCGCGCAGCTGCTCCCGGTCTTCCTCTGCCTGTTGTGCCTTGTGCTCACATGAGAGAACTGAGTTCTGTGCTCACCAGGAATGAATAGCCACAGCGTGATGGTTGTGGTTTGTGATAAGGGTGGTGTTAGAGGGAGTGGATGGTGGAGGAGGGGTTTAGTTTTAGTGAGTGAGAGTTTTACGGCACTTCTTGCAACACAAATAGGGTCACATAAGCGCCGAAGACTGAGAGTTTTGCGGCATTTGCAACAAAAAAAAGGTCATATAAGTGCCGAAGACTAGAGGTTTTACTGCTAGAGAGTAACGTACAAAGAAAAGAAGGAGGAGAGATAAGGATGTGAGATGTTTGACAAGAAAGGAGTAAACCAAAACCACAGCACCCGCCAACCATCTACGGGTGGAGACGGTAGTGGCGGTACTGTTGATGGTAGTGGGGGGTCATGGTGGTGGTTGTAAAGATGGTATTAGAAGCAGCAGTGGTAGAGGTGGCTGTGGTGGTGGTAAGGGTGGTATTAGAAGTGGTGGCTGCAGTTGTAGTCACGGTAGTGGTAGGGTGTTCTTAGAAGTGTTGAAAACGATGGTGGTGGTAGTGGTTTTGGACTGTTCTAATGTAATGGAACATTTAAAGAAGTTTTTTAGTTTTTAGTTTTAGTAGAGGGTTTTTATGGCGCTCGCAACTGCACAGGGTCATACGAGCGCCAGATGATTAGAGGTGTTACAAGAGAGTAACAAACATAAAAAAGAAGAAAGGGAGACAAGGACGATAGATGTTTGATAGGAAAAAAGAAGCAAACCACACCAGAGCACCCGCCAACCATCCACAGAGAAGTTTTGCCACGTTAGTAGCTGCTAAAGTCATGGTAGTTGTGAAGTCAGCCAAGAAATTGTAAGCGAAGGTGATTGCAATGATGAGCAGTAGTGGAGGTGACGGTTGTTTTGTTTGTTTGAATAAAGAGAAGCACGTCGACATAAGAATGGTCATTTAGTGCCGGGGAAGAGTAAGACAAACAGAAAGACTACAGACAGACAGACAGAAACAACAGACAAAAAGTAAAGAAGTAGAGCGTAAAACCTCACAGTGACATCCTTCAACCACCCATTAACAATAATAATAATAGATAGCATTTGTATAGCGCATATCCCCGCTCAACAGCAGGCTCTATGCGCTTTACACTATATTATTACCCCAGCAGACCATAGTACACTCCGAAACATTCTCAGCTTCCCGGGAAGCATACAGTGCGAGCAGCCGATTAAGCGCTCAAACACTAACAAACTGACAAGATCTTTCGCTGTCTATAGCCGGGTACCCATTCTCACCTGGGTGAAGTGAGGAAAATTCGTGTAAAGTGCCTTTCCCAAGGACACAACGTCGGGCCCTTGACGGGATTCGAACCCATGACCTTACGGTTGCGAGTCCGAGAGGAGTGGTTGACATAGAGACAGTGATACAAATGATCTTGGTACGGGTCTGTTATACTGCTGCGTATGTCTATGTGTGTGTATGTGTGTGTGTGTGTGGGGGGGGGGGTGTCCTTTTTGTAGAGGTATGAATCAAGAATGACTGTCCTCGCTTGCCTCATAAAATACAAACAAGCAAAAGTTGTAGGACGAAATGACAATCAGCCACAAACATTCACCAGCTCTACACATCAGAACACCAGGTAAGAGCTGACTGTTCACACACATAAAAATAAAAAAATAAAATAGTAATAATACCAGCCATAGAGGTCCAGCAGATGGAACCAGTAAAAGGAAAAAGACAGAAAAAAACAGGGCACAGACATCTTTCAAATGTTTTTACCACGATCCAAAAATATTGAAAAACGCAAACAAACAAAGAATAGAAAAAAGGCCTAACAAACATTAGAAAAACAAAAGTAATCTTAAAAAAAACTTCATTCGCACATAATAACAACAGGGCAACTTTCACTGACTTTTAAATCTTTTCGAAAGTAGAAAATATTGGCGTAAACCATACAGAGAAGCAAATATTTAAATAGAAATACACATGCACTAGCCTAAGCATTGTACCTATTATATGTGCACTAGTAACGTCATGCATGCACTGAATCTACGGGAAAAAAAACGGTCTCAATAGAAAAAAAAAGAAAAAAACCAAAACAACTTACAGCTTTATATAGATGCTGAAATAATTTTTCCTTACTTGCTAAATGATTAAACAATCTCCAGTGATGACAGAAAAAATGACATTTTATTTCCATGAATAATTTTTTAAATTTAGCCTCACCTAAAATACACTTCGCACTTTTGGGGTGGTGCTTAGAAAATAATAAAAATTATCTGAATACGCTGATTTAGCTTTTGAGTTTTCTGTACGTTCAATTCATTCTAAAGAATCTTTGCTGGTCCCTTCTAAAATGTTCTCACCAGCATCATTAGCGAGCATAGTTCATGCTTCTCGTATAAAAACAACTACATACAAAAACGGCAAAACTATGCTTTCTATGGGATTCTACAAATAAAAAGCCACTGCGCATCAAACGACTAGTACAAAGAATTACATCGTTTCGGGAAATCACCAACCGAAATTCTAAATCATAGGCAGAAAATTTTGACCTCGAAATTATTAGTCAAGTAAACAAAAACCCAAAGAATTTGGATTGCCCTTGCTACTTTAGCAAGGTTTGTATTGTGCGGAGAATTTTACACCACATTATTTGTCATTTGCTTTTTTTTTTTCCTTTTCAAATAATTGTGGCTATTCTGGGGTAACACTACATCTCAAACACAGATACTTGGTTTTCTTTTGTGCTTTACCCATCATGCAAAGGAACACAGAATATATACAGCTATCTTAAGACAGAATCATCAGCAGGAATATCCAACTATAGTGTGGTAAAAAATGCCTGGCGTAACTGATTGTCAAATATCTCCTAAACTATTGAACGTAGATCCTCCAATGTTTGCACAATGACTCATATCGATTTGTCTTAACTGATGACTATTCTTTCAAATACCTGTACACTGTATTCTAGAAAATTCCTTAATAAATACTAACAAAAAATCCAAGTCGATGGTTTCTACAGCTTTTAAAAAGTTAAGAGCTCCGACAGCTTTTAAAAGCAAGTCCGTCATTGTTTTCTGATCGCGACTTTATGCTTATTGAACGCATGTTTTGAGAACCTGTAGTGCAAAAAATGTGTTCACTATAAAATTAATTTCTCATAACAAGTTTTGCCACTATAGAGTGCCATTGCTGAGCTTTGATGTAGGTCATATGCGAGTGCAAAATGTGTGCAGGAAGCGGGAAGTGCTGTTAACAATCCCATTTTCCGAGTGAAGGAGATTTATAGTATTTTATATAAATTTACGAAGAAAACTTTTAAATCTAGCCTCAATTGTTGTGGAAAAATATGATTCGGTTAAGACAAATTGATACAAACTGCTATGCAAAGTATGAGTGACGGTGATTCACACGTTTAAGAGATAGTTGAAGGTAAGTTGAGCCATGAAATTTTGAGCGCACTATAGCTGATGACTGGCACAATCAGCAAGCCAATCCTTTCATGGATCCTGGAGAGGAGGGAGGAACAGCTATGGCATTGTACTGCCAGTGATGATACCTATTTTCCAACCAAGTATGCACCTAAAAAAGTAAAGTTGTTCCCGCATCCGATCCGGACACTGGGGATTGCCTTGTTAGTGAGACAACTCCCTGGGCCTTCGGCATATTACAGTAGGGTGGCCAGTTCCATTCTACGCCGCCATTACTTCCCTAATTCGAAGTCAGGTACCCATTACTGCTGAGTGGGCAGAAGGTGGTGAAAAAAATCCGTGTCCGAACAGAGGCTCGAACCCGGACTTTCCTTGTAGGCACTTAACCAACACGCGAAAACATCACCAGTGTTTTGTGTCACTCCATAGTGCTACAACAGGGACATGCACGTGCATGGAGTGTGCTGTGTCGTAGGGCTTGGGGGGGGGGGGGGGGATATTTTTATATATATAGATTTAATGCTCTATTTGGGAGTACTTGCTTGTTTGTTTGTTTGTTTGTGTGTTTCCTTGTGTAAAGAGAAGCACATCAACGTAATGACAGTCATGTAGACCTGTAAAAAAAAAACCAAAAACAAACAAACAAACAAACCCCCCCCCCCAACAAAACAACCCCCCCAAAAAAGAGACAGAGGAATAGGAAAAAAAACAGTTTTTGAAAAGTGAGACTTGTCATCCGTGCATGCTCCCCAACCACCTGTGTGTCATAGTTCTTCTACTTACACAGACACTCGGGTGGGTTTTGAATCTCAATGTCTCATTTCAACAGGTGACTACGAACAAAGGAGCCAAACTGGCTACAAAAAGCAAAAACCAAACCCTGAACTATCCAGATCCTGTTGTCGCTACATTTGAGCAGAGGCTCAATCTTTATGGATCACCCTATTATTGTCAAACACACTTGCATCAAAACTATTCTAAAATGTGGGTACATAATCTAAAAAGTGCATATGGTCGCTTTAAAGGACAAGTGGACTAACCCAGATTTCGGAAGAGGGGGGGGGGGGGGGTATGCCCCAGAAATCTTGACCTGCATCAAAAGTGGGCATTGCCCTACCTATAGGAGAAGTGTGGTTTCATTAGTGTGTATATTTGTTTGGTTATAAGAAAAAAAATCTTCTTGTCTTTTAAAGAAACTGAATAAGGGGCATAGACTTTACCTTCGATTTTCTCAAAACAGCATTTTTGGGGATAGCCCCCTAGTGCTTAAAAGCGGCCATATATATATATATACACATATATATATATTGTTTGTTTTAGTAAAGGTTTTACGGTGCTCGCAGCCGCATGAGGTCATATAAGCGCCACAAGATTAGAGGTGTTACAAGAGAGTAACAAACATAAAAAAGAAGAAGGGGAGATAAGGACGATAGATGTTTCAAAGGAAAGAAGAAGCAAACCACACCAGAGCACCCGCCAACCACCCACATATATATATATATATATATATATATATATATATATATATATATATATATATATATATATATATATATATATATATATATATATATATATATATATATATACCGGACACTTCAGAAATCCGGATTTCCAATTTCATCTGTATTTTCGAATTCATCCGGATCACCGCCGGGTTTATCTGGTCTGGATAACCAGCAATGTTGAACTGACCTTGAGCCTCTCCACCTCCAGCTTGAGGTTGGTGTTCTCCGTCATCCTCTCGTGGAGACGTGACGTCAGCGTCTCGTTCTGAGCCTTGGCGTTCTCCTCCACACGGTCGACCAGCGCCTCCAGCTCTGCCACTCGCCTGAGATAGGTCACCGGGTGGGGTGGGGGAGGGAGGAAACACACAACAAAAGAAAAAAATGTTTAATAACAAGACATTGCTTGAGCACCAGTTAAAAATTTATAATAACAATGAAAATAATAACCATAAAAAAAATACAACAGCAACGCCAACAATAAAATTATCATTAAAAAATAAATTAATAAAATAATAAAAATAAAAATAGTAATAATAATAATAATAATAACAACAATAATAATAGTAATAGTCATGATGACAACGAAAAGCCAAGAAGATGGTTTTCAGTTTCTTGGACAGAGAGAGAGAGAGAGAGAGAGAGAGAGAGAGAGAGAGAGAGAGAGAGAGAGAAAGAGAGAGACAGACAGACAGACAGACAGACAGACAGACAGACAGACAGACAGACAGACAGACAGACAGACAGACAGACAGACAGACAGACATACAGACAGAGACAGAGACAGAGACAGAGGGAAAGAGCCAAACAGAGACAATCCTAAATAAATGAATAAAAAGCAAAAGAGACAGACATAATGACTAAAAAAGGGAAAAGAAAAGGGAAAATGAAGGAGAGAAACAGACCACAATCATGGAACAAGGAAAGCAGGAAGTGGGATTTTTTTTTTACAAAGGAGAGGGTTGATTGCTTCATTGAAGAAAATACAAAAATACATCAACATAAATAAAAATTGAATTAAGAAAAAGAAAAAAACTTTACTGTATAGTCAAATCATTTATAAATTAAATAGAGAACAAAATCAGGCTCAACTTGACCTTTAGGTTAAAAGGAACTTATATGACTTTTAAAAACAATTAAACTAGATAGGTAAGTCTCTGCAGTTGTAACTTCAGTGTAACATACTTTTTAATCATAGTGATATAATATCATGGATACAAATTTGATATGTATAAGCCTGTATTAGAAATGTTCTTTGGCATAATATTAATTAATAAAATTGATTAATTACTTTTACAATTTTTTTTTCCAAATGATTTATTTAGAGAGAGGAAAAAAAAAAGAAGAAAGAAGTAGGTCAGATCTAAAATAACTTAATAAGCTGTTAAGAAAACATGAAGAGTAATAGAATGATCGGCAAATTTGAAAGTTAATAATAATAATATATAGCATTTGTACAGCGCAAATCCCCGCTCAACAGCAAGCTCTATGCGCTTCATAATCTATACTATTACCCCCAGCAGACCCGAGAGCATTCTGAAACAACCTCAACTTCCTGGGAAGCATACTGACAGTGCAAGCGGCCATTTATAGGGGCTAAAACACTAACATACAGAGAAGATCTTTCACACAGATGTCCCAAGACAGATCACACTGTTGAGAGTACAAGTACGACCTTTGTGTTTATTGTTCACTTTTATTACAAGCACCCAGTACTCAGCCTCACCAAATAGGACACATTTTTATCTTTCAGCGTGTTATTTTCATCATTTCCAAACAACGTAAAAAGATAAAAAAAAGAAATTAAAACGAACATAAACTCTCTAAATATGAATTAGCAAATTAATGAGCAAATAAGATGCAAAAACAAAATAAAAACGAGCATCAACTCGAAAGAAAAATATGAATTAGCGAATAAAATTATAGTAAAGAAAGAACCCCCCTGGGATGAATGAATGAATGAATTATTTTTACTAGCTTCTAGCAGTAAAATCAGCACTGACCGAGGGTGTGAACACAATATAGAACAGAGGGATAGGAGGACTCACATTTTTAGTAGCTGAGCTAAAAACTACGTGAAACATCTAAAACATGTTAGTAATGTGAGTAAATATTTTTACAAACCCACGTATATATATATATGATATATGTATATAAACACAATTGCAAGAAAATGTTATCATATTATGACGCAAGGGAAATTTTATGAACACTATTGTGCAGAGTAGAAGTGGGTCTGTAAATGTTTAAATATATCACAAGCAGATTACAATAGTCAATTTAGGACGTATATTTATATAAATTAATGTATCATAATATCCAACATCACTTTCATACAGCAGTAATCAAACCATGATAGTCATAATATAACGAACTACAAATGACAAATACGAGTATCAGAAAAAAAAAACAAATCATGACGATAATCGTAAGATACTGACAGGCACTACTGCAGTATTGCTATAACATTTTCCAGACCACAATCACTAGGGTCTTATTTTTTTTTCGTAAGAGTTTCACGGCACTTGCAACACAATAAGGTCATATAAGCGCCCAAGATTAGAGGTGTTACAAGGGAGTAACAAACACAAAAAATGAAGGAGGAGAGATAAGGACGATAAAATATGTTTCATAGGAAAGAAGGAGTATACCACACCAGAGCACCCTCCAACCACTAACTCGGGTCAAATGAATTACCACTCATACTCAAGTTCAAAAGCAAAGAGTTGACATAAGCGTTATCACTCTCAAGTAGGGCCTACATAAAAGTTTAAAAAAAATAAAGTTCAGAGGGTATTCCGTAACAGACACAGAAGAGACATGAGACATGACTGCATCACTTATGAAAACAAATAAGAGCAAAGATAAGATACTGACTTCTCGTGGAATAATAAAGGTAGAGAAAGACAGATAGAAAGGTTATACAGAAAGAATAGCAAACATATCTAAATGCTACATAAAGAAACAGAATAAAAATGTATTTGTAAAAGCTTTAAAAGAATAGATGTGTTACAAGAGAGTAACATGCACAAAAAAAGGAGGAGAGATAAGGACGATAGATGTTTGATAGGAAAGAGGGAGCAAACCACACCAGAGCACCCGCCAACCACCCACACTACACTAGAACAGACACTGGTGTAGGGACAGCATGTACAAAAGACCCGAAAACCACACACAGAAAAAGAATATCAAAAGATCTTGAATGTTATATACAGAAAGAGAAACATCATCTGAACTACCCAAAATGCCAAATATAGAAACAGAATGTCAAAAGACTGAGTGCTCATAAATACAGGAACAGCATGTCAAAAATACTCAAATTCTTAGTACAGTAGAAATAAAATGTCAAAAATAAAAGACCTGAAAGCTAAGTACGGAAAGAAAACCCCCCAAAGATACCCGGTACCTGAATACTAAATACAAAATTAGAATGTTGAAAAGATCTGAAAGCTTGATACAGAAACAGAATGATGAGAAGACCTGACAGCTACATATAGAAACTATAATAACAAAGTCTGAATGCTACATACAAACAAAGAATGGTGACAACCATAACCCCTCTCCCCTTTAAGTCCTCCCCCCCCCCCTTAAAAAAAACAACCCCCCCCCAAACCAAAAAAACAACCCCCCAACCTTTACTTAAAGCGGACAGATACAGGTTGATACAAACCAAAATGAGAGACAAGCATCATCTAGAGGCATACATTAACCTGTCCCCGCAGTTTTATGCAAAAAAAAATAAGAAATTATGCAAACTGAGCCCAAAAATGTGAAATTATGCGATTCTGTAAATTTTAACAAAGAACGAAAAAAATTATGCAAAAAGATCAAATTTTACTAAATTATGCGAGGTGCATAAAACCATGGGGACAGATTAACAGAGAGTAAAAAAGACAGTAGTCGCTATGCACTACGTATCATGTTGCAAAGTTAACGCAAGCAAGGCGAATTGAAGTTTGAGCTGAGTAAGCATGATTATAGCTATTTTTTTCACTAGGAATAGATGAGGTTTTAGTGTTAGAAGAGGTTTTATGGCGCACGCAACTGCATAAGGTCAATGAGCGCCAGAAGATTAGAGGTGTTACAAGAGAGTAACAAACATAAAAAAGAAGGGGAGATAAGGACAACAGATGTTTGATAGGAAAGAAGGAGCAAACCACACCATAGCACCTGCCAACCACTCACAAAGGCGAGTTGAAGTTTGAGCTGAGTCAGCAAGGTTATGGCTATTTTTTTCCACAAGGAATAGATGAGGAAACTAGAGACACTAAACAGAAGTACAAGAAGCAGATCCCACTAGAGCACCCACCGGCCACCCTCTAAACCAGGGATCTCAACAAACTCAAATTACCGCAGGCCGTTAGTTTGAGACTCCTACTCCACACAGACGAAGAGATAATAAAAAAAAAGAAAAGGAATTTGATACATCGACATGCAAATGAAACATGACGCAGCGTGGTCCAAAGCCTAAACAGAGACTGGCATGATCAGAGAATCACCATCATGAAAGAGACTGGCAGAGAAATGAAGATGTAAGAGCAACTATTGGCACAGAGTCCTGTCTGCATTTTATATTTAAAAAAAAACAACCCCACTATGAAATTGTCCATATACAAAATCCTATACATCACAAAACGAATATCTTATGGTTGGAGAGCCAGACTCGAGAGCCTATAACATCAAGCAATCAGGCTGCAAAGGATGAGATAGACCTCGTTAAAAAAAAAGAAGATAATTCGGGGAGTCAAGGAAACCTCTAGAAACTACAACATCTCAACAACAAGAGCTGCAGAAATGGCCTACAACAGAAAACTGCATTGCGTCTCGACGCTTAACGGTAACAGAAGATGAAAAAAGTAAAAGTAAAGTAACACAATCAGTGGCAAGTAGGACTAGAACTATGACCACCGCTCACTGTGTGGACGCTAAGACGGTAAAGACCTGACTATGTAACCAATGAATTACCACTCATACT